ACAGCATCGCTGTCTGGCAGGCAGGCTGGGGCAACTGGCCTGTGGCCTGCCCAGGAAGACACAGGGGCCTGGAGTGGCCTCAGGCTTCCTACTGGTGTGCCCCAGGGCACAAAATGTCAGCAGAGTTTTAAAAGCCTGAGGCAGCAGTTGCCATAGAGGCAGCCCAGCCCTGGGGCAGCAGAGGCTCTCAGGCCAGAGCCCTGGGGCTAGCGTCAGGCTGACCCCCTAGTGGCAGGGCTGCCCTGGGAACAACCTTGCTCCCAGGTCACATCTATACGTGCTTTCCTGCACAGTAACTAATCACGAGTAAATCTGATACCTGCATTTCCAAATTTACTTGTTACTAGGGGTTTTTACTGCGCAGTAAGCATGCGCACGTGTAGACATGTGTGCTTACTGCACAGTAAACTATACTACTGCGCATTTAAGTGTCTTGTGTAGATGACCCTAGTAAATCCCTACTTACTTTCTCTATATCATTTAATATTTTGTAGGCCTCTATCGTGTACTGTCCCCCGTCTTCAAGCATCTCATTTCTAAACTAAAAGGCACAGACCATCTAGCCTCTCATATGGAAGTCCTTCCATACTTCCGATCATACATGTTGCCCTTCTCTATATTTTTTCCAGATCTTCAATGTCAGGAGTGGGCAATTATTTGCCCTCTACCCCTGCCACCACAACTCATAAAAACTCCCTATATGGCATGGGGCTGCGGGTGGGTGGGGAGTGGCATTCAGGACCCAAGAGGGCATGCAAGGCTGGGATCACAGGCTGAGGTTATGTAGCAGCCCCTGCCCCGTGGGGGAGTGGTGGGGTGGGGGCATGGGGGAGCATGTGCACATGGGGGGCTGCCTGGGTACTAGGTTCTGGGAGCCAGCTAGGGTTGAGGGGAGGGGATGGGCACAGTAGAGCTCACCTGGGCAGTACCGTCCATGGCTTCCCCTGCAGTGCTCCACACGGGGCCAAGCCCCAGCTGCTGCCACCCAGGGCAGCCCACACCATGCTCCACCCCATGGCTACTTGTCTGGCCTTGGCCAACATGAACAGATTCTGGGGGGGCCTGCAACTGTCTGGGTGCTGCTCTGCTCCCCTCACCTCCAGCGGCAGGTCCTCCCCTGCTCCTGCTGTGTTACTCTGGGCTGGAAGCTTCAGCTGGGCGGCTCCTGCCCCAGTGCATGGAATTCTGGATCCAGCTGCAGCACCCAGCCAGTTTCTACCCACTCAGCTGATACTTTGTTTTGTTTACCAACCCCTTTCTTGATAATTATATACATTTTATTTACATTTTTACCACCACTGACTATCCACAATGACTCTGAGATCTCTTTCTTATGTGGCAACAGTTAATGTGGAACACATCATAGTTTATGTAGATTTGGGTTATTTCCCTCATCCCCTCCATGGGCATCCCTTTGCACTTATCAACATTGAACTTCATCTACCATTTTATTGACCAAGGCTAGGTCTTTATCTGAATAATTCTGTGTTGTCAGTGAACTTGGCTACCTCGTTATTTCCCCCCTCCCCTTTCCAGGTCATGTATGACTATATTAATTATTAAAGCCAGTACCAATAGAGATCCCTTGGGGAACCCTACAGTTTACTTCTTTCTGTTCTGAAAATGGCCATTTTAATTTCCTCCGTTTTCTAGCTTTAAACTAACTTCTAATCCACATTTGCTCTAATTCCATGGCAACCTAATTTCATTAAGGGTTGCTAGCATGGAACCTTTTCAAAGGCTTTTGGCAGTCCAGATAAGCTATATCAATTGGATTGCCCTGATCCATATTCTTGTTGATGCTCTTGAAGAACTGTAATAGAAAAGCCCAGGAAGTCTTGTTCATCCATCTGCTTAGCAATCATTTTTTAAATTACTGTTTCTACCAGTTTGCCAAGAGAAGTTAGACTTACTGGCCTGTAGTTCCCTACATCCCCCCCGGAGTCCTTTTTAAAGATTGGCAATCCTCCAGTCCTCTTGTGCAGTTAACTCTGCCCAGTACTGCATCATTTAAGATAGGATATATCCTAAGTGCTTGGACCCATCTTCCAATCTCAACACTAGAGAGATACATTTCTAGTCTTAGAGAAATAAAGGATCTCAAACCTGTGACATAGAAAAGCAGTCACTGGTTATGGATACAAGTGTTAGATGTAGTACTTTTTAAGCAAAAATTTTGCATTCAAATTGGTGGAGGAAAAGGTACCAAAAAAAACCCAGTTTCCATCTCTTTATAAAATGACAGTTGTTTGAATTTGCTTGTGGGTTTGGAAAATTAAATAAAATATTATATACAATTATATTTAGGAACCACAGGAATTTGCACTGGAAGTTTGCTGTGCAGTGGCTCCCTTAATCTTGAAGTTTCCAACCCCCCCCCCCCCAACTGCTGATTTGTGGAGGGGGCCCCCATGAGCCCCGCCGCTCTTTGCTCACTCCTAATGGCCAAGAGGCAAAAAACAGTTTTAAATATGCCACCGTTTTTGCCTCCTGTCCGGTCAGCAGATGGGGCAGGGGCACTGAGGCCCCTCTGCCAATCAGTAGTGGGAGGCAAAACTGAGGCATATTTAAAACCACAGTTTTCACCTCCCCACTGATCGGGGGTGAGCAACGAGGTTGACAGGGCCCCTCTGCCAATCAGTAGGGGGAGGGAGGGTGTGGGGGAAACTACAAGATTAAAGGAGCCACCATGCAATGCACTTTTGGCGCAAATTCTAGTAGTCTCTATATTCAACCAGCAATCTTACAAACCATCATACCATATATTATAAGTATAGGAAATGCCACAGCACAGAAAATGTTTACTTTGATGTGTGGTTATGGTTTAAAAAAGGGTGATCCTATAAAACTGACTCTTCCTCACTTATCTGATGTTCTCCTTGTTTGTATTTCAAAGTCACAACTAGGACAAAAAATACATGGTTTCTGTTAGCACTGCTAAACCAATGCAGAACACAACCTAAATTCTGTTTTGGTGCATGCTTCATCGTCATCATCATAATTGTTCAGCGCTATACATAGAATTACTGGTCATAGTGCGCAATCCATTAAAAAACATACAAACAAACAAACAGACCTTTGCTTTCAGAATCAAGGTTGAGTATGTCTTTTAAAAAATGACTTGTAATTAATACTGGTTAAATCAGCAAGTATTATCTGAAAATGACTATTTTATATTTTTTAGTTAACAAAAGAAAAACATTTTTCAATTATTAATTCTGCCCCAAGTGATTATGTCATATGACACAATTCCATTAAAATAAAAGACACAATACTGACTGTTGCATAGTACAGACATACCCCAAACTAACTTTAAGCTAGCCAACTCAGGTTCTGTGAGCATTAATAGTTATCCCTGGCAGGAGAACCATTATTTTGCTTTTCTTTATACAAACTTAAATTCACAGGGAGGAAGGTCAGAATGTAGGCTGACCACATGGAAATCCGGGACAATGCCCTCTCACCCTCCCTGCACTGTGCTCTCACAAGTCAGCAGGGACAGGGCTGCATGCCGGGCAGGCAACAGTGCCAGCCTGCAAGGCATTCCACATTGCTCCAAGTTCCAGCCAGACCGTGTCCTTGCATTCGAGGACACGCATTATAATTCTTAACAGACGGCTGGGACCAGCCTCTGAAAGCTGGGACTTTCCTGGTAAAACTGGGACAGATGGTCACTCTAGTCTAGTCTACCCACAACAAAGGGTAGAAAGATACTGCCAAACCAAAGTGGACCAGCTGTGACGGGATATATTCCACTACAGCTGATACACTTTATTAGGCAATACATACATTGCTCATTGTCTCGCATCAGCCTCTGGGTGATGTGTTCCTCTTGCCCGATAGTTATCTGTGTCCGTTGGGCTCCGCACTGACCCCTGACTCAAACGGAGGCATAGATCAGCACGGGCCCCCAGCATGGGTCAAGATAGTGCAGAGGCACAGGAGCTGGGAAACTCCTGGTACCCTATGCTTCCACATGGGGACCCATGCCTCCATGTGAAGCATGGGCAGGTCCTGGCAAGGAAGAATGGGGTGCCAGGGATTTCCCAGATCCCATGCCAGGACTCACACTGACCCATGCCTCCACTTGATGCACAGGTCAGCACAGGCCCCAACAAGGAGACATAGTGCAGCACAGAAGCCAAAGAAATCCCAGGGCCCCATGCCAGGACCTACATAGACTTTCCCCATTTGCAGGGATGTGATCCTGGAGATACAGGTCTGCAAATCTGGGAACCCTGAGTTTTCCAATTCACAGAAATGTGCCCCAGGCATCTCTGTAAGTATGGCAAGTTAAGCAGGTGCTGTAGGTGTTTGAGGGAACTGATCCTACCTGTGGTGCACAGGACTGGCCCTTCAAGCCCCAAGAGCACCTGCCTGTGGTGGCAAGAGAGTGCAAGCAGCTTTGGGCTGTCCAAACTCTACCACCACAAAGAAAATAGACAGGTACTGCAATAAAAACTCAGACAATTTATTAGTATCTTTTATCATCCCACTGATGTAGTGTGACAAAGGCTCCGAACGTCTGTCCGCTCACCATTTGTCCCACCATAAAAATTGTTACGGTGGCACAAATGTGACTTCAGACAATGCCTGTTTCCATCAAAAGGCAGCAGTGCACTTGTGCATCTTACTCATATGAAAAGTAAATTTAAGAGCAAGCAGCCCCTATGACAACATACTGAGAAAATTATTTAGGTGCAATCCTTTTCAACTGGCCACAAAAAGCCCATTCCAGTTATTGTGAGGATAATAACTCAGTATACTGAGAAAAGGATACTGGGAAGAGAAAAATAAGAGTTTTGGCTGATAGCACTCATGTTCATATTATATTTGAATCCTGCTTGTTTACTCAGCCTTAGCCTCTGGGCTAGTAACATGATGCTCGGATGTTATTTAAGGAATAACCAAGATGATGTGATAAAACTGACCGTAGGAAAGCAGCAACTTGTAGAAGAAACAATAATACCATATTATTACTTCTGAAACAGTGTTCTTACCAAGTGGAGGCTGAAGCATACCACCTTTCTTTTCACAGGTCCCAATGGGCTGTATGTCAGAGGAATCCACTAGCCTCCAAAAGTCATTTTTGTTGTCACTTCCATCAAGCCGCAGCCTTAGTCTGGCACCAGTAATTCCAATTATTGTAGCTATACACACTGAGGTAACATTTCGAGGATCATGGGCTTCCAGTTTCATACCAACTTTAAAATCATTGGTTGGTGGGATCCTAGACTGCAGGAGGGGAGAAAAGACTTTTTTTTAATTGTGTTGCAGTACTGTTTAACTTAAACAGAAGAGTATTCTTGAGTTTACTGGGTTTAAATAAAAGCAGTAACAGCTTTTTGAATAATGGGAAATCTCATCAATTTGGGAATTTAAACCAATGAAAAAAAATAAACATCAAATTAGGAATAGGATGACTTGGAGTGCCTCCTAGCAAAACTGGGTATCTGTTTTTGTATTAACAGGATTAATTCCTTCTTGATAGAAAAATAAGTATCAATGAGGGGGAGACAACGTATCATCTGGAGAACACAAAAACGCAAGAGGAAAATAAAAGAGCAATGAACATTATCTAAGGTGACATATAATTGGATGTACTAGGGTACATAGACTCTCTTTAACATGGTAAGTTTCATTTACTAAACTAAAAACATTAAAGTAACACAGAATTATGCATTGTTTTATTACAGTTATGT